TGGACTTTCTTTGTCTCAGTTTCCTCATCTACAAAAATGAGAATCATAATAGCACTAACACCATAAGACTATTATAAGAGCAAATTATTTAATACTGGCAAAGGATTTCAAATAGTGGTCAGCACATAGCAAATGCTTAGTGACCTTTATGATTCCCTGGGAGCTGTGAGCCCCCCAAAGACAACAATTTAGTTCTGTTCATTTATGCCTCCTTAAAGGAAGTGAGTACCTCCGCACATTACAGTGAACCTTACATATCCATGTTGATAACAGCACAGATCATAATAGCTAAATTATTGATGTGTCCATAAACAGATGAATGGACTTTAAAAAGTGTATTTATACACAGCAGAGTGCTACTCTGCCATCAAAAAGATAAAGTTAAGTTGTTTGTAGGAAAATGAATGTACCTTGAGATCACAATGTTAAGGGAAATACATTGGACACACAAACTTAAACATTGCATGGTTTGTCTTATAAAAAATTCAAAGCACAAAATAAAGACAACAGGAAACAGGGAGTTAAATCTTTGGCAAATGAGGAAGACACCAAGAGATGCAGGGGAAGGCAGTAGAAGAAGATGTGCAAAAAGAAAGAAGATGTGTCATATCCAGGTACCAACTCCTCACAACAGATGCATCCATGACACATCACAAACTGGTATGAATTACATTAAATTTTAAAAAAAGATGAATTAAATATTTTCAATTAAAGCAAACAAACCCTTGACAAACAAATAGAAAACTACTAGCTTTTTTTCTTTCCATTCTTTAGAAGCTTGGGAAAAAACTCAGAAAACTACGTTAATCATACTGCACATTCTCCTTTCTGTGACATCCATGTCTCACCTGAATCACTAAGTTATAATTATTACTGGCAATCACTAACTTACATGCTTATGATCTAAATATTCCCTTCTTGGACAACAAACTCTTGACTTGGTACCTGACATCAAAAGGAGATCAATAAAAATTCTAACAAGGAACAAAAATCAAGTATCTCTCTTAAAAGCTTTTACAAATTTTGACATCTATGACATAGAAAAGAAGGAAGGGGGAAGAAAGGATTTGTAGAAAAGGAGAAGGTAAATTATCCAGGTTAAAGGAGCTGTGTTTGAATGCCTCTTCCAGTGGCTAAGAATAAACTGGCTTCTCACCTGAAGTCTGGCAACTTGTAGGAAGTATGCATGTTAACCTGTTGTCATTGAAATAGAACAGAACCACAGATGAGAAAGAAAACAAACTTCAGGTGGGAAAAACCTTCCAGGAAAACAAACCTGGCTTTTCACGGTGAAGGACTCTGTGCAGTGTGATCAAGCAGAAGCCACAAAGGGAGCGACTGGTGGTCTTCAGGACAAGCAGGCTCAAAGACTTCCAAGTGTCACAAGCTGCTGAGTGGTTCAAGCTGCAAGAGGCACCATGCCTCACAGGACAGGGACACAGAAGTTTTGGAAGAAAGACCCCATCAGTATCACAATTGGATATCACTGGGAACAGATAAGCAGAAACCCAGGGGGCTGTGCAGCCATCTAGGATACCTGCTGGATGGGTAACCACGGCTGTGGCTTCTACAGAGAAGTTCCATGGTCCTGAGGTGTCACAGGTCACCTGATCTATCTCCTTACTGTAAAATAAGGTTAGTGCTTTATAGCCCTGCATGTGGCTTCCTAGAGAAACACATTCAAATCTTTCTTGTCTTTTCTTAGGACACTGTTGGAAATGAGGACCAAGATAGCAACAATGAGACCTGTCTGAAATCCTCTTTGGTTCTCAAAATTTTTTTTTCTAGTGACATCGTACTCTTTGGAGTAGATGCCACAGTTAATCAGTCAGAGCACTGCTTGTCATGAATGCTTGGATCCAGACCTGCTGGTTTGTACTGCTTTGATGCAGGTGGTTAGGAATGTGCAAACACTGCCTGGAGAGTGACCAGGAATGGTTAAGTTCTTCTGCCTTCCAACGGGAAAAGACTGCTTTCTGTTTTGAAGTCAGGGTACAGATTAAAATGTAGAGGACATTGGGCTGATACATATAATCATATAGGTCAGTATATGTGTGATGACTCCTTCATTAGGGTACTTCTGTTTAATTTATTTTAACAACTTCATCTCTAATGGAAGAAACAGTAAAGCTTTTCCATCCCCAAGGAAGGAGAAAAAATTATTTCGGTGAAGAAGTAATGTAATGCAGAACCTTTGTGAAAAATGACACTTTATTATAGCGTTTAATATAAATGGATTTTGTAAGTTTCATAATTGAACTCCAAAGTACATACTAGTTAAAATTGCAATATAAAATAACATTATGTACTTATAAAATAGAAAATTAAATTATAAAAATAAAATAGACATATTTTCCCAAGCAGAATGTTCTAACAGTCAGAAAAGAAAGCAATTATGATCTCCAGTTCTATAGATCAGTGAAGACTTTTCAGAATTTTGTTACCATGGGGTTTTGGGGGCGGTGCATTGTCAGCCGCTGCAGAAGCACTGTTCATTACGGAGAACTTAAGTAGTTTTTATGAGCACATGACAAGTGACTTCCCCTCTGTTCTGTTGACCTTATCTTAGGATGACCCTGTCAATGATGGGCTGTCAACCAGACTTTAACTCATCTATGATCAGTGGTAGAACAATCAGACAATAGAAAGCATGCCTGGGTGAGAGTCTAGCCTCTGGGTATTGGTTCATTTGATTAAACACATAGATGTTTTTTCCCTCTAACAACATCCAAGAAAGAGAGTAAGCAGGAGATACAGAGGCAAAAACGGAATCCCTGCCACAGACTCACAGCCTAAACCATGAGTGCCATGTGATTTGTACAGGAAGGAAGTGTTGTAGAGGGGATCAGTGTAGGAGGAGGGCCCTGAGGAGGAAAGCCTGAAATCACGACAAGGATGTGAGGAAAAGACTTGCAAACAGAAAATTTAAAGGACGGAGAGCTTGTTGATCTAAGGACATGGAGCAATGCGTGCCAGGCCCTGCAGGGGCAGGATTGGCCCTGTGGGCCAGTCAGGATGTGTGGAGGAGAGGCCTGGGCTAAAGGCTCAGCATGGGACTGTTTCCTGGGAGAAAAAGTTACTTCTGTTATGTGCATGATTTGAAAAAAGTAAATCTCTAATTAGAACACCAGAAATCTTGTGATTAAAACAAAACAAGCAAACAACAACAACAACAACAACAAACTGCAGAAGCCTAAGAGAATGAATGAGAAAATTGGAGTTTGGTTGTGTGATTACAGCTGTAAACATCAAAAGCTACCCTACAAGCTAATAAAACCCAGCCAGAAAAATCAGTGAAAACTGCTTTCGTATCAACATAGTACTGCTAGAGAAGAACATGATAAAGGAATTCAAGGCCCACCTGAAAACAGCTGCACATGGTACTGAAGAATGTTAAGACAAACAAAATATTGGAAAGATTCAATATTGCAATAATGTCTAAATATGCAAATATACTACAAGATATAAATTAATAGACAGAGGTACAGAAGACCTATAAATTCTTAGATATGCTAAGCTTGTATTTGTAAAGAAAAGTATGAGAATAGCCATAACTGTTTTGGAATTAAAGACTAATGTGGGAAGCATGCCTAAACAGATATTGAGATGCTGAGAATCTACTACAAACCTAGAGCTTGGCATTTGTGACAATCTTGGTAAATATCAAACAAAATATATTTCAAGTTCAAAGAATCAAACAATAAAGGCCAATCGATCAGTGGAGAAACATAAATATGAATAAAGAACAAAATAAAAGATGGATAATAAGAGATAGGTAATTGATCTTTTTCAAATGGGAAAGGAATCAAGAGATGGGAGGATGAGGGGAGGAAAACAACGGGAAAATATCAAAAGAAGAAATGGAAATAGACTTTTGCAAATGAGGAGAGATGTAAGAAATGGAAGGAGCAGGGAGGGGTGGGTGGGGTGTGGAAGACGGAAGAGCTAAGGTGTGTTATGCACAATGCCAACCCCACAGAAACACAAGCATTGTGGACTGAAAGCACCAGATCAATAGAGAAAACATGGATAGTGGGTGCACAGTTGAAACAAGGACAAATTTATCTCTTTTGAAGGTTAATTTGACTAGATTCTCATAACTGAAATGTTCATATCTTATGATGCAGTAATTCCATATACCAAAAGGAGAATAAAGAAGTCATATACTATTCATCTGGAATACGAGCTATCTATTATAAAGAATATATTAACTATTTATTCCAATTGAAGAGGAACATTGCAGAACACTATTTACAATGTGATTTTAATTAACACAAGAAGAAACACAAGAATCAGTTGCAGCTGAAAAATCCATTTGACTGCAGACGACAGGGAAAATGGCAGAACTGGTGCAAAAGCAGTTACTCTGGTGGGGATGATGAATTGATTCCTAAAGTGTCAACAGCTCGGAATGATCAATTTGTTGAGTGGGCAGCAAGAAGAGATGCTTTGATGGGAAGAGGAAAGTTAGGGAGAGAAAAATGGGGCCATCTAAGTAAAGATGAGAATTAGATCACAGTAGAGCGGCCCCCAGGGTGGAAAGCCAGGAAAGGAGTGTCACCCCAGGCAGAGCATTTGCTAGGGCCTGTGTTGTAGGTGAGACGAGAGGGCAGGAATGAACACAGTGGAGGAGATCAGAAACCAGGAAGGGCGCCTGGTGGCGCGGTGTCACGTTGCCGAGGAGGGTGGACATGGTGGCTGTTGAAAGAAGGCCCCTCCAGGTCCATAGCATCAAACATTGCTGGGACCGCTCAAGAGCACTCTCTGGGGGAAGGTGCGACAGGAGAAGGCAGATCGCAGGGAGTGGGTGGTGGTGTCCCAATTAAATACTTGACTTCTGCTCCTACTTGCTTTGTAACTTTTCTAATTATTTCTCCAGGTAGGGCTCAGGAAATGAGCAGGAATTAAGTGAAACAGTGATGACAGTAAAATGACTCCTGGTGACTGACTTACATAAGCGAGCACTTGCGGGCCTGCCTATAAAATCTCAAATTTGTCGAGCAGACACTTCCATATAACACTTAGCTGGGTAAATTGCTTCTCGTTCTTCAGGGACTCCGCCGGAGAGGCTGCGAGGTGGTGGGAAGGCAGAGGCTGCTGATCTTTTAAACAGCACCGCAGGGCTTGTGCTCACTGTCCTTTAGTAAAGAGCATGGGGATCTGAACCGCTGTTCTCTCATCCATCCGTGGCCTCGGTCTCCTTTCCACAAACAGCCAGCTGGCTGTCAAGTGTCAAGAGTCACTTGTTTGATTTAGATTCTTCCCAAAATGAACTCCTTCAAAATAACAGTTTGACAAGAAGCCCAATGTGATCACAAGAATGATGGAAACGGACAAAGAGGCTTAAGAAGCTCCTGGAAAGAGGAGGCATTTTCTTAGTGGAGTCAAAGAAGAGCGGCCAAAACAAATGCGATTACACTCAGCCAGGAGCTGAGTCCTCCCTGGTGGATGGCCAAGCACCCTTGGCCTTTCCCAGGTGAGCCCTGAGGGCCCAGTGGCTAAGGAGACCCTCCCGGCAGGCAGGACAGGTGGGTCTGCGACCTGGGACCTCAGACACAGCCCGTGCCCTTTCTGCTGAGGATAGTGGTGTGACTGCCACCATCTTCTTGGATACATGTGTTCTTCTCATCAGAACTTCACCAGATCTCATGTACTGATGACAGAGGACTCGCCAGGATTTTGTTAATCACGCGAGACTGTGGCTTTGTCGCTCACAGAATGATTTGATTTGTATCTACTGGCCAATGTTTTCTCATAGAATCCTAAAAATGTGATAAAAAGCTAAGGAAAGAGATCCTCGAAGGAGTATTGTTATTTCCTCCTCATATATTTTCCAATATGGATGATATTAACTCTCTCTTCTCAAGTCAAAGGGAAATAATGCGGTTTTTAAAGATTTGGAGATCATCTGGCTGATTCTTTCCGCCTTGTGCATAAATAAACCGAGCCTCCTAGAGGGACTTAGCTGTGAAGGGGCAGAGCTGACAACCGTTTCTCCTGCCCTCCGTCCTTGCTCCTTGCACATGAGATCAACCGGATACTTAGTGGTGAGCTGGGGGTTTCACGGCACAGCGGCAAGCTTCTGAGTTGTCACTGAGCTGTGAAGTTTAGTATGTGTGAGCAGAGCTGATCAGAGCAGTAAAGGCAAACTTAAGAGCCAGACGAGGAGGAGGAGGCAGCTCCTGCTGACCAGCTCCATTTTTTGTCAGCACAAGAAGAAACAATTCCCCTGTTCCTCGGTTGCGCTGTTCTCTTCTCACTCCATCTGAAGTCTCAGGGCTGGCTGGTTCTCCACAGACTCCGGGAACTGTGTCCGGACTCATCCCCTACTCTGCACATGGGTTGGAATTCCACGTACACACGGAGCTCAAGAGCCCTTTGAAGAAACAACAGCAAGCTCGGGTTGGCTGTTTTTCTTACCAGGCGGGGCCTTCGATCTAACCCTTTCGCTTTGTCTTTTCTTGGCTTTGTCAATCATTTATATTTACCCTGGAGTGAAAAATAAAATTCTTAGCAGAAGGACCATGGTGAATCAACCAGTTTTGTTCACTGTCCGCAGAGGTCAGTTTAGTGCTGCATCCTGAAGGACCATGAATAAATCCCACGTGCATTTTTAGGCCGTGGTGATTTGATGAGTTCCAGTGAAATGTCTTCCTATTTTCTTTCAGAACAGGAACGAAGACTGAGAATTAAAGTTTTTCTGCTAGATCTTTCTGCATTCGTGGCTGAGGACTCAGCTTCCATTCCCGGAGTGAGGTACGTGCTTGCCATTTCTAAGGTCTCTTCCTACGCTAAGGCAAATGGGCTGCTGTGGGAACCATCACTCTGGAGGATGATGTCAGAGAAGCAGCAGCTGCACTTCCTAAGCAGGACATTAGTGCCGAGCCCCAGAGCCTGTGGCCACTTCCAGTGTAGTTCATCTGTGATTTTTAAAGATTGTGCAGTGGTTTACTCATGTAAGACTTTTTAACCATGTGGCCATGATGGACAGATTTCTGATTTTCTGGCTTTGATCAAAGAAAGTGGGTGTGGACAAGCACCACTTCCATCTGTGTGGACAGACTGACCACATGTAGTCACTTGCCAGAGAGACTGAGGAGGTGCTTGCAGGTAGTGACAGCAGTAGCCTTAGGATCTGCCCCTGCTGAGACCTCCTTAGGAGCATCCTTAAGTGAAACTGCACGAGGGCTCCAGGAAAACAATGGGCCTGGCTCTCCGTGGAGCAGCCTCAGGGCCTGGAAAAGATGAAGACCGAGGAGCTCTGGGTTCTTGCAAAGACTGATCCTTAAACCATCTGAGTTTGAGGAGCTCACTTGCATCCCATACCATGTCAATCCCATTGTACTGTGAGGACTTGAGGTTTCTCCCTTTCATGTGATTCTGTTCTCAAGAGGAGAAACAAACAAACAAACAAAAACAAACCAAAAAACAAGCACATGAACAGCAATGACTGATCAGGGTCCCGGAAGCCAGTGGTGAGCATCTCCTCCATTCTCTTTGTCTCCGCCGGCTGGGCCGAGAAGAGTGGTGGATGGTGAAGGGTCGGTTCCCTCTGCAGAGAGCGGCTGCCCAGGCTCCGGGTGGCTGGGCTTCTCCAGGCCTGCACATGATCTTCAGATGCCCTGTGTAGGTTGGGCAGGTCTGGCAGAGCTTTCAGTGCATGCTGTGTCACCAGGGAACGGTCCTAATTGCCTGAGGCAGATGCCGTCTAGGACTTTCAGGAGAGGGAGGATCATTTATTCAGCTTGCTCTAGAAGTTTTCAAGCTGTCATTAAAAACGAGGAATAAAAGCAAGATAGAAAATGAGGCAGTTTCACGACTGCCTGAAGAGTATCAGGATGTTACACGGGCAACGAGGATGACCAGAAACAAAACAACAGGCCCGGTTTCCAAGAGAATCCAGGCAGAGCCTGGGGAGGTGCCTTCACCTGCCCCTCTTTCACTCGGTGGGGTGCTGAGATGTCCCCCTGCCTTCGCTTGACCATCACGATGACAAACAACGTAAGCAGGGGGCAATTCTTGTTTTAGTTTCAAATCATATTTCATTGTAATCTCCAAATAGCACATAAAGGATTGCATTCAAAGATATTTGTCTCATTTTAATGAAATGAATACTATTTTCAAAATTTCCATGGGATTACTTTGAAAATTACTTTGTCAAAGTTTTGTGTCTTTGGTTGGACTGTTACTGGCATCATCCCCCGAGTCTTGTGCCACATATTTTTCATCGAGGATCTCATTTAACCTTCGAAGGCTGTGAATCAGGCACCAGATAACCATCTCCAGGTGAGAGATTTGGCTTGCCCGTGATAGACTGGCGGAGCTGCGGGGAAAGTGAAGCTTTGGAACCCAAAGCTACACTTTTCTAGCTTGTTCTTCTCTAACTACAGTCTTAAAGTGTTGCTTTTAAGGGAAAAGTTTTGTAAACTCAGAAATATCAGTGATCGTATTTAACATTAACCACAGGAACCATGGGGTAGAGACCTTTTCTCCTGAACAAGAACTAACTTCCAGATTCTTGTACACAACCAGGCTGCATGATCTTTCCAGAAGCCGGGGGCAGAGGAATGCGTGGGATATTCATTGAGCCTTGCATGATGGAAACAGCGTAAGAGGTGACACACGGGGTGTGAAGGGAAGGGAATGAATGATGCCTGTGTGCGTGAGGGAAGTGGAGATCCAAGGGCCTGTGAACCGCCCCGGGGACAGTCGTGCTGACAGAGGACAGAGACCCAGTCCTGGGCCCTGGGCATTTCTTTCTTCTTTTTGGAAGGCAGCCAGAGGCCTCCGACAGCACTAGTTGAATGTGGGGTGCAACAGCACACACAGCTGCTGTCTGTCTCGTGGGTCAACTGCATCGTCTCAGGGCGGGATCATCGCCGCTCCTGCTGCTGCTCCCTGATGCGCACTTCCGTGCCACACGGTCACCTGCGTGTGCAGCAGTTCATCTGTCATCCCTCTCACGCACCTGTCACCGCAGCAGCAGCTTGCACCAACAACACTGCCGTCCATTACAAGCGGGCTCTTTCCTCTTTTTATTGATCAACTCTACTCTCACCTCCCTGTCACTCTGCCCTTTCTGCTTCTAATGTTTGGCTCCACAAATCACAGACTGGTGTCTGTGAAAAACAAGTCGTTTCCTAAATGTCTCTCTGGAACCCCAAAGTGCTGTCTCAGCCAGCAGTTGGTGATGAATGAGGTTTCCTCCCCTTGCAGTTGTTAATGTATATGTGGCCTTAAAAAAAATGCTTCTGTTATAGTTTCAGTGGTTTTGTGCAGCTTATTAAAAATTCTGTCCAGAAAGATGATCCTGTGTTTGGTGAGCTGTGATGACAATCAATTTTGAAAAATTCTCAGATCCCTGGATCTCGTTTCTGGGGTCTTTCCCCCCAGTTACTTTGGTTTGCCCTCTGTCCCCACACTGCCTTCCAACTGTTCTTGGAAATTTTCACCCGTTGGCTGGCAGTTCCACCAGAGTTCCTGAGCTGCAGGGTCCACTGCCCCTGTCCCAAGCATTGCCCTGACTATCAAGAGCTTTGTTGGGACTTGACCTTCTCACCCTGTGGAGCTGGGAGGAGAGCCAGGGCCCAGAAATGAGCCATAACTCTGCTGGCATCATTATTATATCTCCTAACTGAGGCTCCCTGAAGAACTAGTTGTCACAGTCACTTTCTTGCTGCTGGGACACAGTACCTGACACCTACAAGCGACACCCACTTTGCCTGATGCTTTAGTTCATGGTAGCCAGTTCCAAGAAGGGACAGCCTGATGGGAGGAGCTGGTGGAGGAGAGCGGCTCGCCTCATGGCAGCCAGGAGGTGGAGGGTGGGAGGAGCTGCGAGGGTCATCCGCTCTTCCAAGCCACACTCTGAGTGACCAGACCAGACCATACCTCTTGAGGCAGGTCAGCTATCAGTTCCTGTGATTCAATCTCCTTCCAGCCCCCACCATGTGGCTTGGTTGGAGGGAATATTTAGAGCTAAATCATAACACTTGTGAGCTGAGCCAAATCTCCAAAGATCTACTGAAGTCCTGACTCATGGTTCCTGCCAGTGTGACCTCCTGGAGACCCAGGGTCAGTGCAGATGCAATCAAGTGAAGAAGAGGTTAGACTGGAGGAGAGTGTGGACTGATGCCCTGTCAGAGGGCTCCTGAGGACAGACACAGAGGGGTCCTGAAGGAGGGCACCTTGTGTAGATACAGGTAATGCAGCTATATGTCGAGAAATTCCAGGCATTCTGACAACTACAAGAGGGGAGGAATGGACTCTCTTAGAGCCCAGAGATCCTGAGTCTGCCCACACCTCAGCTTCAGATTCCAGCCTCCACAGCTGTGGGAGAATGCATTTCTGTTTTGAATGCCTTCTTTTGCAGTGATTTGTTACAAGATCCATAGGAAACAGAAACAGAAGGCAAGAGGTGCAGGGTAGTTCGAGGTACCGAGTACACTGCAGTCAATGTGTGAGTCACTTATCACTCACAAACTGCATCAAACCACAACAAAATGCGGTTTTGTGGCTCAGCGGTTTTATTTAAATTGTCCTTTGGACGAGGAGATTTCCAGAAGGTAATCTCTGTATTTTAGGTAAGTTACATATGTATTCATATTAAACTTAAACTACCAGAGAAACCGGAACAGCAGAGGAGGAGGAGGGCTGTGGGAGCATGTGGCAGCTGGTGGTGTACTGTGTGTGCTCCGCACTAGAACACGCGATTGTTTCTGCCAAATGGATGGAGACCATCAGCAGTCATGTGTGGCAGAAATTCTGCTGCAAAATTCCAAGCTGCTGTACCTATTTGAGCTACAAGTCTCTTCTCACAGCCTGCTGTCTCCTGAGGAGACTTGCATGCTGGACTTGAAAAGCTACTTTGATATTTTGTAATGTTAATACATCCAACATAGAGCTGCTACCTCATAGATCTGCTGTAACCAAGGCCTGATGCACATTTATCTGACAAATACTCACTGTGTACCTATTCTGTGCCAGTGTTTTAGGTCAAATATTCACGTATGTGGAGCCTCCAACATAATGAGTGTTTCACCAAATTATAATTGCATATGAGGGTACTCAATTAATGATAGATATTTTATTGTTATTATTATTTTCATTTTAATGATTATATACAACTACTAAACATAAATGTCTTTTTGCTAAATGTTTGCTTTTTCTTTAGAATAGAGAATGCATGAGTTTCATGTCCACAGGGAAATTCACTTTTGAGGACAAGGTGGTGGCCACAGGAATTACGGCATTACTGGCATGTGCACAAAGGCACGTGTACCTAGGTGCAATGCATGCTAAGAATTTGCAAAACTTGTTTATTTCTGCAACAGATATAAAGCATAAGTTCATAGCTAACAGTAGGACAGCAACTTAACAGTGTTCATCAGGGACCACTTTGTTCTAAGGAAAAGTATACTTCAGCCAAAACACCATGGGGCCATTCAGCACTGACTTCTGAGATGATCACAGAAATTATAGATTTATAAATTCCTATTCACAAGGATGCATTCACAATTTTTGTATTATAAAAGTGAGTGGGCTCCAAGAATAAAAGGTAAAAACTAAGAGACCAAATAAAGCATATTTTGATTAGATGGCTGAAGGAAAATTTCACCAAACATTTACATGATTATTTGTATCAGTTCCTATGCAATTTAATAATCATCCTTAGTTTCCACATCCAAAAAGTAAGCATTAGTCCACATATTACCTATTCTCTTGAATAATTTTGCTTGAATTACCAGGGTGAAAACAGTATTTAAAAAATTTCAAAGCTAACATTTTGGATTGATTTCTCCCTATAGTTCTTAAGTGTCTGCATTATGTAAGTGAGTGTATTTAAGAATTTACTTATAAAGGGGCACTCTCAACTAGCATCATTTGAATTGGAAATAAAAATAAAAATGTTTTAGTTGTTATTCAAGGAACTGTAGAGTAATAATGCAGTTATGAAGTATCTCAACTTCAGAAGATAACTGGTAAAACAGATGTTTTTTATTATTGCCAACTTTTCCCAGCACATTAGTGGTTGGGGTAGAGTTTATTAAAACTGTTCTTGATGAATAGAAAAATAACATGATTATTGAATATAGCATTGTTCACATTTTCATAAAAATATCTCTTCAGTTATTTACTTATTTATTGCAGTACTAGGGATTGAACTCATGGTCTTTGAACTGAGTTACATCCTTAACCCTTTTAAAAATTCCCTAGTGTGAGAAAGATCTCACTGATTTCGCTAGGGTGGGCTCAGACTTGCAATCCTCCTGCCTCAGCCTCTCACAGTGCTGGGATTGTAGGTCTATGTTACCATGTCTAGCTTGTTTTGTTTCTAAAAGGCTGAGGGTTCTTAACCAAATTGTAAGTTAAAATGGAATTTTGAGCATAATCTTTTCATTTTAGAAAAGTTGAAATTGACAGGAAGGAAGTAAAGATCTGCGCCTCACACCCAGGGCCCCCAGTGCTAGTGCCTATGTTAACGGGGCACAGTTGTCACCCTGAGTGGAATACTGCTGATGCATTACTTCTAGGCAAGACCCGTGCTTGCTCATAGTTGTATTTTTCTAAGGATTTATCCTCTTCGCATCCTGAGTTCCTCTGCTGGGCTCAGCTGTCCTGGTTCCTGACGCTTCTGTCTGTGACAGATCCTCAGGCTTTGTGTCTTTGGTGATCCTGACAGTCTGGGGGTGCACTGGTCGCTGACCATGCAGGTTGCTTATCAGCAGGATTTACAGGATGTTTTTAGCATGCTTAGACTGAGGTCATGAAGTAAAACCAGGTGCCACCATGTCACCTCGATAACCCAGCATGGCTGGTTCTGTCCTTGATCCCTGGGCAGAGCTGCTGTCCCTCTGTCGGGCTCCTCTCTAAGGGTCCTCCGCTTCCTACTCATTATGTGCAACTCACACTTGGAGGAGTGAAGATTTAGGATTTTTAAACTTTAAATTTGACATGAGTTTTTAAATAACATACAGCTGTAATTGCTTAAATTTAGAAATACTTGGTTTTCAAAGAACAAGGATTAGGAATTGCATACATCTGTGAACAGGCTTCTTTCTCTGGAAGCCCTCAATGTGGAGAGGATTCACTCACCAGACTTTCTCAGCCCTGGGGATTCTGCTGATTCACAGCCCAGCTTTTCTTCCAATCAGTGTACTCTCAGAATCCACACAGAGTTTGTACATACACCCATTACAGCTCCGTCTACTCATCAAACATTTACCTACAGTGTACATTATTAAGACCATTTTCCTGAAATTTAATAGTAATTGCTTGTCTTGTGTGGCTTATGTATTTTAAAGCTCCTACTGCATGAAACTAGAAGTGGCATAATGATGGGAAATTTCCATCCACAGTCATATCCTTTATTACCTTTCTTCAGTAATCAGCTCATTCTGAGGCAAGAAGCCCAGAAAATTGAGAAATGCCAGAACTAATATTTATTAAGTCTCATCCTGGTAGGCAGGCACACACACATACACCTTACTTCCTTAAGTTTAGTTTGTAGGTGTTCTTGGCCATGGTTAAATTAGCTCTCATGATACTGTGATCCTAGATAAGTAAAGACTTCACCCTTGTAGGGTATCCCAAAACTTTGACTGAGTCATGTGTATTTCTTGGAAAATGAAAAGTCATCAAGAGCATGGCTTCTGAGGTCTATGTTGAAAAGACAGAAGAGATTTGGGCCTCTGGAGAGTGATGCAGAGCCCAACAAAGCTGTCAGAGTAAACACTGCCTTGCATCAGACTGTTCAGCTGGCTTGCCAGCTGTCCAAACCTTGCGATGGGGCCAGAACGATAGGCCAGGATAAGGGCCAGGCATGAAATAACTTTGTTGGTGCAAAGCTCAAAAAAATTCAGAAAGAAGAATATATCACATTTAATACAGTAGCTCAGTACTCAAAACTAACAAAAACCCCACAATGAGCCAAGTACAGTGCCCACGTGCTAATTACTAACAAGGTGCATGTGCAGCTTGTCCTTTCCTCTGGAACCAATCCAGCTCTCAATCAAATCCAGAACTCAGTAAAGTAACAAAGGATTTCTACTTTCAGTTCCTACGTTTGAAGAAGATTCCCTACATGCCCATAACATACCAACAAGAGACATTTATTCCAAGGTCTTATGGACAATACTTGGGGGCAATGTTGGGGTCGAGAACTCTAAGGCAGTAATGCATGGTTCCTGCCACAGGGTAGGTAGAATCTCATAGCACACTCATGATCATGAAAGAGCATTTCAATAGAAATAAAGGATCAGGGAGGAAATATGGAGAACTGGGTCACCAGGGAGAAAAGCTTCCT